CGTAATCTGTTGCCCCTAGAATCACATTAAATATGCCATTCTAATTTATTCATGTGCACTCATGTTCAAATCAGTAAAAGGTATCAGTATCCAGCAGATACACTACCTACACAAGATATCATCACCCAATCCAGCAATGGCCACCAAGGGTAAACAAACAGCCTACAAACACAAACTTGTCAGGAAATTACATCAAGGGAAGGCATCCAAGACAGGCAGACACAGAACTCTGCTCCGCAGTGAGGTTTAGAAACACTAATGTGTTTCTAAAGCTGGAGTCTTATGTGAGGGTCTGAGGAGGATTCAAGGGAAACAGCATCTGGGTGCTACCATAGGTAAAGTTGGCTGGACAACTGGCTGTCCCCAAGAACAGTTGAGTATTTAACAGTATACTTGGAGGCATCATACCCAGGAATTCAATAGTCATTTAAAAACTGTGGTCACTAAGGCATTTTACAGCCTTTGTCTGACTGTGGAGGACACCATGCTCTGTTAACTTTGATTCTGACTTAGCTGTTCCAAAACGGCAGAAACGAGTACTGTCATGTCAGTCTGAAAAAATGTTCACTCTATGGATCCTGAATAGGTTTTGACTCTTTCAGAGTCAATCCTAAAATCTTTTAGGTAGAAGGAGCTCTGTACTACCCCTGAAACATTTTAGTGAGTCTAAATAATCACTCTAATTATTTAATTATCATCCCTTTGACCCTAAGAGTCTTCACAAGAGAGTATGTTGAGCTCCATGCCTGCTCACTGACCTCTGCTCTCAACACTGACTTGCCAGTGACTCTGAAAGTAAGACCCTCTGTTGGGAGAGTCTCTGTGTGTGTGTGTGTGTGTGTGTGTGTGTGTGTGTGTGTGTGTGTGTGTGTGTGTTTGGTGAACCAATACTTGGGTTAGTAAAGGAGTATGGATGAGGGGCTAATTTGCAAGGAGCACTTCTGATATGGTTTGAGCTCCTTGTCTTGATCCACTCCATCATCACCCTTTCTGTCACCAGCTTGTACTGTTGGCTTAAGCTACACGCATGGAAAAATTAAATCCACAACATCTTTTTCATATAAACTGAGTTCAAACCAGCTGCCCTGTCCACCTTTTCAGCCAGCCCACACTCAGTTCCGGTTTTAAGCCAATCATAGAACTCCCCTGGTAATGGTTAACTTGTACGATTTTCCTCACAGTCAGCTCTGTGACCGAATGGAAGAAAACTAAGACTCAAAAGCCCCATGTGTAAACTCCAGCTCTCCAACTCACTGCAGAACTCCAAGCAAGCCATTCTACTCCTCAGGGTCTCGTTTCCTTGTAAAATAAAGTCAGTGCCTTAGACAGTTTCTCACAGCCTTCAGCTCTAGTGTCTTTCCATGTCTCCCCAGGCTACTATCATGCTAAAGCCTATTGCATCAGTGTGATCTTTAGTTTATTGATGAAAAAAATCATTCATGGAAGCTAATTAACTTGGCCAGCATCATAAATTACAGGATCCTGACAGGCACAGTCAGGGTGTCCGCCCTGTGCTTCTTCCTCTACTCTAGTCGGCTTCTATTTAACCTCACCCAGGTCCATCAATCTGTCCTTCCCTACCAAGTGTCTTATTAGACTGGAAAATCCTTTTCTATAGCCTCCAAAAGTTACTCCAGTGCCCTTTTTCCTCTGTGCCATACAACTTCCTAAGAGGCTACATGCAACTTGTTATTTACTTCATTCCATGAAGGTCGGGCTTCTTTTCCATGTTCTGAGAACAGTTCCTGGACCAGTACACTCAGGAGTCCTGTCCTGGATGTCATCAACTTCCTTCACTACAGCATCTCTGTCCCCAGTTGCTACTCCCTAAGTTTTCCTTGTGGTTCTGCTCAAAAAATTGTCTTTTGTGGAAAGCCCCAGTATTAACCTCTATACAGGTCCCTATTCGTAACCTCTGGCCTCCAGACATTAGTGACAGAGTCATTTACTGTTACACAGTCTTTTAATGGTCTCTCTCCACTTATTTCTCTTCCTGTTGAAAGTCCCATCTCAAGGTATTATACTTCACTAAAATCTGAAAGCCTCCATCTCCTGCTCAGATTGTAGATTTATTTACCCTGTACCTTCCTAGACAAAAATCCTGTCGAAATAGCTGAAAGCTGACCTGTCGAGGCCTTTGTTGGAGAGCAATAATATTGACTAACGGGCAATACAGCAGGTAAGAATCCCCAGCAATGCTTAACATGAGGTCAGAGACTAACAGGCACTTGGCCAGTAGCTCTTAAAAGTGCAAAATATTCTCTTCTCAGCTAAAGAAGAAGTGATAAACTTTAAAAGAAGGGCGGGTTACCCAGATGTGTAAATAAACATAGTTTGTCTTAGTACCAAGAACATTTTTTAAATCCTTGTCTCTTTTTTTGCCTTAGAAACAGTCAAAACAATCCATATGATGACCTTCAGAGCAAACAAAACTGAACTGTACACCTTGCAGAAACAAAACAGGAGCATTCAAAGATGTATCAGGACAGACAGAAAAAAGTCAAGATTGGGTGCTTGCAAAAAGATAGGGAAATGTGTTCAAAGACGTGTTTATGAGCATGAATTAAATGAACTTTATTATTATAAACCACTAACCAAGCCATTTGTAAAAAGGTATGACAGACCATCAACTATGCTATTTGTATCAAGGTTGTAAACATATTAAGGCTCATATGTCCCAAAGAGGGTCTCAATATAAGGGGGTCCCAACAAAGGAGGTGCCTGCTAGCCACATCATAATGAACATTATTGAACAGGGGTCGTGCCATTTGTACCAGATAATGGCAGTATGTTGGCATTCATATTTTCCAAATATTGCCTTGGAAACAGCTGGCTGCAAATGGCTCTTATCACTCCCTTTCTTCCTTCTGCTCAGCTGCTATTTTAAGCTCTGCCCCCATGGAGTTGTTCCTATGATGACTCTCAAGGACCTTCCTTGAGACAAGATTGATATTAGCCCTTTCCCTCTTCCTTTAGCCTCCTCCATCCTGTAGCTTGGATTCAAATATACCCTGATCTCCATCTCTAACCATTAGGACAAAGAGAGTGCCCTAGGAACAGCCAAACAAAAGTCAGGAGAATCCTCAATTCTTACAGACTTTCTGGTGCTGAGCTGATATGCCAGACCTGGATAACTGTGTTACTTTTCCTACATCAGCTGTAACAAATTACCACAAATTAGTAAAGGATCTGAAAAGACAGACAACTGTTCTGTCATGTTCTGGGGGCTGTAAGTTCAAAACTGAGCTGAAGGCAGGCCATGATACCTCTAAGGTATGCAGAGGAGAGTCTGCCCTGGTTTGGGGGAAATGCAACTAAAAGAAATGTTTTATCCTATCTCAGAAAATGTTTTCAAAGAAGATAGAAGTGACAGAAAGCAACGCTATTATTCAATTAGCATTAGGCAAGAATGTGACTTGCATTACCTGCTGTTTTATCTAGGTTCTATTACCAGTAAAGACTTGGAAGTCAGATCTTAGCGTGAAAACCTGATCGATCAAAGAAGCAGAAACCTGACCTTCCCTTGCCCCCTCTCCCAACGCATCCCTGACCAAAAGGCCGCAGATCTCTAAATCCCTCACTACTCCTTCTTGAGCCTCTCTATCCATGTCCCTGGTCCTCCACACTCTCTATGGCTAATTCTTGTCAACTAGTTGCCGGCTCCACCCCCTGATCCAAGACTAATTTTATTACCACAATCTTGGAGTTTCACAGTATAATCAAATATCCTAAAACAATCACTGGTAGTCCACAAGGAGACAGAAGAAGAAAAATAAATCACCCTGAGACACACCCAAGCTAGCACAACTCATTCCACTCATGTTCTCAAGATAAGTCCTCAAGTAAGAGGACTTGACATCACCTAGGGTCACATATCCTACACTCACCTGGCACCTGGGATGGACACCTGTGTTTGCTAATTCAATTTACTCAAATTAAAAATGAATGTAAATCTTCTTGGCATGAATGGTGATTCTTCCTCAGTAGGGTTTCTTCAGCAAAGAAGTGTCTCCTGAAGCTATACTCCTGCTCTCTCAAGAAAATTAAGGCTCTGTCTTCCTCAGCAACTGCATTCCTGGTGGGGATAAAACTGGCAAATGGTTGTTTCTTCTTTTTTAAAAAAGATTTATGTGTATTTCAAAAGCAGCGATAAGAATTTATAATTTAAGAATTTCTAAGAAATTCTTAATGGTTCACAGAAGTTAAGTCTCCAGTTTCTCATTTTTATACCACACACTCGCAATTCTTGGCCTACTGACAATTCCTTCTAATCCTGACCTCACACTACAGCCCCGTGTGTCTTAGAGTCCAAGTTTCCCTCCTAAAAAAAAGAACACAATTTTTGGATTCGTGAGTACTGTTACCAACATCAGTTCAGAGGCCCCTGCTGTAGTTTTCCGAGTTCCTGTATCTCTTGATAGCGAATTGTAGAGACACATAGTTACAGGAAAGGGGATAGGTCACAGTAAAAGAGAAAAACGGATGGGCTTGGAATTGCACCGCAGTGGGATCCTGCTGCAAAAGAGATAGGGAGAGGGTCCTGTGGTGGTTTATGGGCCAGTTCCATATGACATCTTTTTTCTGCACAGGCTGTGTATCCTACAAGTAGCCAGAGCCTGGGAAGAGTGAAGTCTTCCACTACCGCCCCCTTCTTTCATGCGTTAACCTCTGGAGTCGTATCCTCCACCCCTTTCCTGTTCTACCTCCATTCCCTACCCAAGTCTGATCTAATTTCAATTTAAAAGCCTGCATTATTTCCATATAACATTACAATCACAGGTAGGAAGGGGAGGGAAGGACATGCCTTCTGGGAGACACAATTCAACTCATTGCAATCACCTATCTATATCTTATGTAGGAGGAATCTAATTTGTTTAAGATACCATGTTTGTTCATCACAGCCAGCTAACCCTAAATCTGGCAGAATGTAAGGACAAAATAAAAAATCTTTCACTAACCAAGTACACTTCTGCCCCCTAGTGTCCACTAATATCACTTACCCTTTCTACCTGAAGAACATCTGGTCCTTGAGATCTTTGTATTTTACCTCTTTCCCTGGCTGGCATCCAAAGCTCCTTTGAAAGGAAAAACAAAAACACAGATTTTTTTAACTAAAGATAAATGTTCTAACCAAAATTTTTCCAGTGTTGTAACTTAAAATGAATGTATTTCCTTCAAAATAGAATCAAGTTACCAATGAAGAGATTAATACTATTGAGGTTAAATTACCACATCTCTTTCTAGGAAGAAACAATGGAGACATGAAATCTCATACCTTTGTTTTTTAAGATCATATCCAGAACATCATTAATATAAAAGCAATTCTAAAAACATAAAATGAACCCACCTGCAGCAGCATATTAGCTTGGGTATGAAGGGGTATGAAGGGGAAAGGAAAAGAAAAATTGGAAGGGCATGTGTGGGAAGGCGGGGGCTGATCTGAGAAGAGCTGAGGGGAGATAGAACTTAAATATGATCAAAATACTTGGAATGAATTATGCAATTGCCAAAACAATAACTAAAAAATATTATGACAAAACATAAAATGGAAACTTGATTTAAACTCCTGAAATATTTAAATTTGCTAGAATCTATTATTAAATCAAATAGTAAAAGCTTGAACATGCCATAACAGTACCACAAAAAGCCTCTTTGTTTCAGCTCTGTGATAATTCCAAACTGCCTGAGGCAGACTGACTTTTCTTTGCTACTGTTGTAAGGTTGTTAAACAAAATACATTCCAGGACAGAGGAGTGAAGAATGGAAAACAACAGCAGATCTGCAGACATAAAACACATTTGCAAGATGTCCTCAAGGGAATCATCTATTTAGCTATAATCTCCTATGCTTAAGGGATGTCTTTCCAAAGGTCCAAAGTATTATATAAAATAAAAAGTTAAAAGTCTCAGATACCAGTGCTGGGCTTTAATCCCAGCACTGGGGAGGCAGAGGCAGGGGGATCTCTGTGAGTCTGAGACAGAGACCAGCCTGGTCTACAAGAGCTAACTCCAGGACAGCCTCTAAAGTCACGGAGAAACCCTGTCTCGAAAAACAAAACAACAACAAAAAAAAGTTTCAGATACTAGATTTACATTAGGTGTGCCTGTGTTAGAACCAAACTGGCATAAGTAATTAAATTTGATATTTCCTCCAGAAACCACGTATCTAAATGCTTGAGGATATTGGTCAAGAGCACATGAGCAAGAATACTACGCATGGCTGGAACAGAGATTGAGAAAGCAGGTGCCACCAGGTGGACTCAATCTATCTGGATACTTGCCTTCAGATGCCTCCTGGCTTCTCCAGGGTCCCTGTGGCTTCACTTCCTAAGCAATCACATTAATACATTATTAGCATAACAGATGTTGTGCTGAAAATATAGTTTAAGAACTGTTTTGGCAAAGTAATTTCATTTTAAATGTATTAACTTTGTCACTTAAAAAATAATATTCTAAATCATTTTGGAGTACAAACAACACTGATACATTATTATCATTTGATTTCTTCTCTGCGTATCTGGGCTGTCGTATCTATATTTTCCTTAATAGATGGGTCACATTAAAGCTTCTTCAAAAGGTTATGTTGTATAGAGAGATCAAAAACGACTGAGGACCAATATGAGATGGCTAACAAACTGTGGGGACTTTAAGATTCTGAAACCCTTATTTACTTGAATTAAATCATACATGTGACTTACCTACCATTGGGACTCAGTGGGCAGCCAGTGTGAGGGACCATAGTCCAATCTCTCTAACTGCAAAATGGTAGTTTGTTGTTGTTGATGATGCTTTGTGTTCTTTATTTTAATTTTGGTTTTGTTTTTACTAAAGCAGCAAAAAATAGACCAGGTTTCATCTAGTTAGGACTCCAGTCGCCACTGCATGTTAGACTCATTGGGAAGATCTGGTGAAATGCACAGATTTTCAATTTGGACTCTCAGGGTATCAGATTCAAGACAAGTGACATAAGATACTAACCTTGATTTTAGCAAGCACCTCGGGTCATGAGTTACATACAGTGGTCTCGTGGTACTTATGCACAAATGCTTCAGTCTTACACACTACAGGATACACTTCAGTGGTGACATGGAGCCTTCACCACCTGAGCCATCTCGCCAGCCCCAGCCAGTGGTTTCTCTTCCTTGTTACTCTCACAGCTTGAGTGTGAACTTCAGGCCATTACTGCCAGAAGAGATCTCACAGAGCTGAGCCACCAAGAAGTGAGACTCTGCCGAGTCCCAGAACACAAAATTCAAGGAGGTTTTCCCGCTGTCTGATCGAACAGGTGATGGCAAAATCCTGTACAGCCAATGCGGGGACAGGATGAGGGACCTGGGCCAGAATCCCACCAACACTGAGGTGCTCAAGGTCCTGGGAACCCCAAGAGTGAGGAGATGAATGTCAAGATGGGCTTTGAGCACTTCCTGTCCACACTGCAGACTGTGTCCAAGAACAAGGACCAGGGAGCTTATGAGGGCTCTGTTGAAAGCCTTGGTGTGTTTGACAAGGAAGGGAATGGTGCCGTCTTGGGTGCTGAAATCCATCATGTCCTTGTCACACTGGGTGAGAAGATGACAGAGAAACAAGTAGAGATGCTGGTGGAGAGGCATGAGGACAGCAATAGCTGTACCAACTATGAGGAGCTTGTCCAGATGGTACCGAATGACTGAGGACGTTTCTGTATCCCAAGCCTGTGCCTTTTCCAGTGTGAGATTTTTGGATGATGTTTGCCTTTACCAAATAAATTTTCTAAGAAAAAAAAATGAACTTTTAAATCTAATCTACTCATTGCAGGGATCTTGTTCAATGATTTAACCAATCAAAGAAATACATTTGTATATAGCCATTCAAACCCTGGCCTAACCCAGAGAAATGATCCTAGTGGCGTGGAAGACTGGCTCCTATAGCACTGAGCTTAGTAATCCACACATACTCCTTTAAAATCATCTACTCTGACCTTGAATTTTCTTTGAAAACCTCATCAAAACCATTGTAGTATTTTGGGTTTTGTCTCATTCCAGGGGCACTGCAGGAACCTGGTCACCCAGGAGTTAAAATTGTATTTCCAAACTTGTTTGGAAGAATATATTGGTTAATTTCCTCACTACCGTTAAAAAACATCTGCCAAAAGCCACTTAAGGAAGGGTCTGTTTTGGCCCCAATGTGAGGGTATGGTCCACAATGACAGGAAAGGCATGGTGGGGAATGCAGCTCTGACTGTGACTGCAGGAACATGAGTCACCTGGCCACAGTATGCACAGTCAGAACGTGGGAGCCATGAGTTCTGCCTCCCCGTCCAGGGCAGGCTGCCGCCACATTCAGGATGAGTCTTCCCTTGTTAAACCTCTCCAGAAACATTCTCACAGAGAGTCTCCTGGGCAGTTCTACACCCCTATCAAGATTACCAACAATGATCTGGAACTGCGCAGTTGGAAGAGCATTAAAGTGAAGCGTAACCATCACCAAGAGAACGCAGAAGGTGGCAGGAAGATTCCCATCACTCTGTTTTCAAGAAAACTTCACTTATCCAAGCAGTTGTATTGAAAGATATCAACAGCAGCATCAAAATTTTCACCAACCAGACATTCAACGTCCATGAAAACACTCAATGTTGGCCTTAGAACATGAAGAAACCCAAATTCTGCAAAAGTGAGCAGTACACTCTGAAGTTTAAATTCACAAGTGTTAAAGAGAATCAACAGCAATGCTTTGAGGTTTTGACTCATCTTTGAAGGATGAGTGAAATTGGGTTGCTGCACACTTCTGCTTAGTAGAGTAAATATGACCATACGCCTTCTAATAATGAAATAATTAGAATATCTAGAAATATAATCTTTGAATTGGCTCCTAATTATACTGTAATAACTACTGTGAAAATAAATAAAAATTCAAATTGACCCTATAATGGGTATAAAAGATGTAAGTAACACTAAATTGATGATACTTCCATATACCAATATTTCAAGCGTGTTAGTGATAAGTCTTAGGGACACAGAGACAAGCTGAAATGAAGAATAAGGATGAGGAATGTGAGTAGCACGAGGGAGTAGTTGCAGGGCTACTTTTCTGTCTTTCCGCAAAGTGTTATGAAGACCAAGTATAATGACAGAAGATGACCCCATCAATGTGACTGCCACATTTCGGTGGAGGCAGCAGGAGTCTGTAAGAGTAAAAACCCAGAGGCAGTCCATCTATGTCAGAAACAAGGGAGATATGCTCACCATAAAAAGCAGTAGGGCAACGTGACAATCAGAATTATTCAAAATGAAGGACTCTTGGGCATGACTAAGTCACAGTGGCCTTCGGAATGAAACAGCCTGACAGCCTTTCTAGAACCGTCCTAAAAACATCTCCAGGAAATCCCCAGCTTGATGGCTAGAAACCTGACATGCAGTGGAGAGCACTGATGCTCATGTTATTTCCAAGCCTTAGCCAGTTTGCAGACCTAGTACTCTTGACTGATGAGTTAACCAAGTCCCTTTGAGAAGGAATTCTTCAACACTGTCACATGTATTTTACCAAATAATCCCCAAAATGATCAGCATCATTTGGTGGAATAACCGAGTATTTGAGGAAACTAAGTACTTGTAATTTTCCAGAAATTGTTAGACATTGGAAAATGGCATTATATGAAGCAAATGAAATGAATTTAATATGTCCAATCTTTTTAGTACAAATAGAGAAATTAAATTACTGAGGAGGGTAAATGCCTTGTTCATGATCAGCAAATGTCAGGGACAGGGCTGAAGGCCAATTCACTAGAAGAATGTATATATGACCTTGCTTAGAACAAAAATAAGAATGTGGATAAAGATTGGGGCTTTCAAGTGAGTGATTAATCATTAGACAAAAAATAAGTCTATTTCTTCCTTTCCTTTATCCCCTTTGTAAGTGCAATTCTTGAGGACTCACCATATACACCACCCTAATATATTAAATTTGTTGATCTAGTCAATCACCATGTGCTTATTTCTTTTGACTTTAAACAGAAATGGTATATTTAATCCTCTCTCCTCCCTCCCCCCTCCCCCTGACATTAGAAACCAAGAGATCTATTTCTTGCCATCATCATTATTAGC